AGTGTTAACATTTATACACCACACCCACAATGTTCCATCTAATTAATCATTGAGCCTGTTCTTGCATATATCTTGATTGACACACACCTTTATATTTACGTTTGAACTCGTCAATTCTATTACTATTTTTTATGTCTACACTTAAATTATTCCATAGTTTTACCCCACTTATGGAAATACAAAATCTTTTTTTGGTTGTACGTATAGCATGAATTTTTAAATTTAACTGACCCCTTAAATTGTATCCCCCTTCCCTTTCATTAAATAGTTTTTGAATTCCACCAGGTAATAAATTGTTCCTGGCTTTATACATAAACACTGCAGTCTTATATCCCACTAAATCAAAACATTTTAACAATTTAGACTGTATGAAAGCTCCATTGGTGTGATCCCTATACCCCATCTTATGCACAATTCTTATCGCTCTTTTTTGTAATATATACAATGGTTGAAGTGAGCTTTTGTATGTATTTCCCCAGTTTTCAACGCCATACTCTAAGTATGGTAAAATCAATGAAGAATACAAAATACGTAGTGCTTTCCCGTCCAAAATACATCTAACCCTTGCCACGGTTCGACCTAAAACCATATTGGCAATCAGAGAGGATTTTATGTCTATCAATAAATGTGTCTAATCTGTTATTAAAGAGTTTTTCCAAGATTTTTGAAAATTGTGACAACAGAGAAACCGGTCTATAATTTGTGAAGTTGTGCTTATCCCCAGATTTATACAATGGAATAACCTTTGCTATTTTCATATGATTGGGGAACTGTCCAAGTCGAAACGACATGTTAAAAATATGGGTTAATGGTTTGCATATCCCCTCAATTGCCCATTTAACCATTGTCATACTGATACATCACTATCACTGGATGATTTATTACCACATTTGTTCACTACCTCTATAATTTCCTTTTCAACTATTGGCTTCAGAAACATAGAACACCTATTCCAGAAACATAGAACACATATTTGAATCAAGTATTGAGGTTTCCTGAAATGCAAAACACAGTCCACTTTTGGTCGCAAAGCATTGTTACAAAGTGGTGCTTTTTTATCTATGCTCTAATAATGCGTCTACCAAGTAGGTGTAGTGTGAGCATGTCAGAGCAGAACCTCCGCTGCCCTCTCTGTGTTCAGACATGACTCTGTGGCCCAATGCCAAGGTCTCAAGCCCTGAACCCTCGAGTGTCTGTGTGGGTAGGGAACACACGTCCAACATCACTGCAATTGCACCATGTAAAAGCTATGCCATTCACAATGCCATAGGCACAATCTGATCACATGACTCATAAATCTCAGGCGAATTAAAGAGCTGTGGTATTAAAACACTGCATCATAACCATCAAACAGCTGGTTTTCTTCATGGATAGTCTTGTAGTATTTTAACATATGATGTAGTTTGTTGAATTACTTTAGTGAATTATGTTTTGGATGTGATCCACTGACACTAGTTCACAAACATCAATAGAGACAGCCTGGGATAGATTGTAGAACAGGGTGAAATGGTGAAATATCCTTTTCATTGTGTCATATCATTAGGCTAATCATGAAGAAAGAAAACCTCCAGAGTCTGGCACAGAAGCACCCACCTGTCCTAGGTCAGAAACTATTGATTATTCTTATTATCTATTAGTCTACAAAATGTTAAAATGGCAATTATCCAAAAATATTTAGCAGGTCTGTCAAAGTTAATGTGATAACGCGTTAAGTTCCTATTAACGACACCAATTTTTTGACAAGATTAACACACGCACTTTCTGTGATTACAACCCACAGCCCTCCCCGTAGTTTGGGAAATCGGGAAGCAATGAAGCAGCAAAGTAGATGGTAAGTAGAAACAAACCTCCGTGATCAGAAACAGATCAAGAAAAAGGTGTTTTGAATGGCAAAGCCCCGTCAGATGGTTCTTTCAACAAGACCAAAGTTATTTCCATTTACTGTCCATGTGAACGGTGTTATCAATGGAGTACATCGAGTCTCAAATACAATAACTGGACAACAACTTACCGTAATTTCAGGACTATAAGCCGCACCCACTAACTGTAAGACGAAAAAACGTGTTGTACATAGCCACTGGTGTCCACATTGTAACATGATATTTCGACAGCCAGATCGATCGCCTGTAACTTGAAACAGCATCATATACATTTCGTCGTGTGTTGCCCATGATGAGGGTGTGTGCATGAAGTGACAAAAGTAGCGGCTTATAGTCCGGAAAGTACGGTATATTAAGAGGAGAAAGTTAAAGCGGATGAGGCGTTGGGACAGACAAACGCTCATCGGAGACGACTGGCACCTCTCTGTATTAACAGTTACCTCGGGCTCCCTTTAAGGTACATTTAGAACCAGTGGTGGAAGAAGTACTCAGATCCTTTACTCAAGTTTAATAGCAAAACAACAGTGTAAAAATATTAATTAGTCCTGCAATCAAAATGTTACATACAAAAGTATTAGCATCAAACCCAAGTACTAAAAGTAAAAGTACTCATTATGCAGGATGCCACATTACATATTCCTGTATATCATGTTACTGTGTTATAATTACTGATGAATTATTGTCTACATCACATTTAATGTTGCAGCTGGTAAAGGGAGAGCTAGCTTTAGCTAGCTTATATGAATTTAATATGAATTACTGCTGGGCAGCTTGTGAATTTCCCACCATAAACCAATTAGATCTTATAATTACATTGTATATTTGTATTAATCCAGTAATGAAAAGTAACTAATAGCTTATAAAATAAATATAGTGGAGTATAAAGCCCAATATATGTATCTAAAATGTATGAAGTAACAGAAAATGAAAATATTCAAAAACACAGATACTTCATAATTATAAAGTAGATGATTAATTGTACTTAGTTACATTCTACTACTGTTTAGAACAGAAAAAGTTAGATTAATTCTAAGTTAATTATGGACAATCAGGCAATTAAATAGTTTCATCGATTGACAGCACTAACATTTAGTTACAAGACAAAGAAATGCAGGAAATCTCATGTCAGAAGCTGCCATCTGAGAATATTTGCAATTTCCATTATTTTGTATTTACAGAAATGACAAAGAAGTATCTTAATAGCCAATTATTTTTCTGCTAATGACCAATTTAATGACTATTTGTTTCAGCTCTAGCTACTGTGTACCACTGACTTACCTTTCCTTCAACTTCATACAAGAACCCGCATTGAGATACTGTAATTTTGAAGGCGTCTGAGAACATCTCATCACCTGTGGAAGAAAACATTATTATTATTATTATTATACGTGTGAACACAAAGCACATCTCCCGGTTAATCGGTGGTTCCGCCATAAGCTACACGATATATATGGACTGGGCTAGAGAAATGAATCTGTAACTCGTGTTAGTGAGTGAATATGAAAGAAGCGGCGAGGCCAGTGCTAACTATAGAATCAATCTGCCTGTCCGACATCACCCATAAACAAAGCTGCTAACTTAGCAGCTGACGTACATGATACCCACAGGCCACACACGTCACTGTATGATGACTGTCGTTACGGCAATATTATAAACCACCATGCCGTATCATATCGCACTGTTGGGGCTTCCAGTAATGACACGAGCACGTTAGACGACACACAGTAATCACACCCACTCAATTTTAGCCAATTCACTGGTAATTAACGTTAGCTAAACCCGAACCAAAGCTATCCCGGCCTCTGCGTCCCCGGTTAGCAACAGGGTGGCTAACGCTCGACATACCCACTGGGTATCATAAGAGTTGTTTTGGCTAGCATGTGGCTAGCTAACACGAGTTAGCTTGCTAGCATTGCCAACTCTCTCCAAACACATAATAAGACAGTAAAAATTACCGCCGCGAATGTAACACTACTTACACAACATAAAAGATTACACAATACCCGATTACTTACCGCTCAGGATGTCTCTATAGATAATCATTTTGGTGTTTAGGTGTTAAGTCGTCCAGAGACAGAGAACAGGCCTACAGCCCTAAGAGCATGTGAGAGGTAAAAGACCGATCCGCCCGCGAGGCACTGCGTTGACATCCCTCTGACGTCACAGTGGGTCGGGTCCACAGAAGGAAACCGTGAGAGTGAGAGTGAGAGGGAGAGGGAGGGAGATAAAGCTCTACTGTGAGTGTGAGTGCACCCATGGAACATTTGACCATAATCTAACAAATTAAAATGCTGAAGGTGAATATGATATTTTTTTAAAAAGGAAAGATTAGTCTTAGTGGATGTGTTTCTAGTTTGTTAGCTCTCATATCGTTGGTTTTGAATGTCCACAAATTCTTTAAGGCAATGGTAACAAATATGGATGTAAATAGTGTCATGTAATTTCATTTAAAAAAATTTTTACAATTTGTTTAAAAAAATGAAAGTACATAAAATGGGTTTTCAAAAGTATTGAAAGTTGCCTAAGTAGGGAAGAGCCATGATGGAGACAGGCTGAGGCAGCCTGAGGGGAAATTTTTAATGTTATGGAAGCACAATGCATATGGAAATACAAGTATACATTGTGCTGGTAAAACAAATCTTAAACAGACCACAAAGCAGCAGGAACCTAATGTTAAAGATGATATTTAATAATTATTTCTATTTAAAGCAAATTTACCGGGAGAAGTTAACATTAAAGGAATGATTAGTTTTATGATGCATGTTTGTTTCTAACAAAGAAATAGATTTTGGAAGGAGTTAGGGGACTTTGTTTACAGGTCTTTACTGTTAAAATGGTGGAATGCCAACCAGCAGCAGCCTAATTTTAAAAATGTTTAAGGTGGGTGGCCTCCTGCCTTGACCGGTTGGGCTGAGTGGATAGGTTTCATAGTCATCGCCATCATGGAAAATAAGGCAAATATACCCAAAGTGAGTGTCCCAGAGCTTATTTAGTCATCTGAGTTGTCTGTCTCTGCCAGGCTTGCTCCCGCCCAAAAACAACTTCTGGGTCCCAGCGTCCCACATCAGTTTCTCTGGTGGGACAGGAAACAACTTGGTACACTGCAACTTTTCAACCAGAATGTACTTTTCTCTAATGTATCAAAAATTAGAGTCCAGCCGCCTGCCCGTTTTCCCTCACAATGGCTTCATTCTGACCGGTGGTTTCAAATACTTGACTAGGGTGTTATGTAACACAGTGCAGTCTATTTAGAAAGGGGAAGAGGCAGGAAAAAACAATCTAGTCATCAGAACCATTGTCCTGAAACTATACCTGTTCAGTGAGAACAAGAAATGTAGGTTTGTTAGTTTAAAAATGTACAGCATACCATGCCAGCTGATTCACAGAACCAGATGGATCCTTGTCTGGTTTTGGAAACTGCACAACCATGCCACACAACTCCAGCTCAGTGGGAGTCCATCATCTATCCTGTATTTGCCTCAACTCTGCCTTTTTTCTCTAGGTACCTGCACTTTTTCTTTGAGTACATCGGTCACTTTTCCAAAAACTATATTTATTTAAAGAGATCCAGCAACTGTCCAAGCTACCAATAACTTGAAAGCTTGGATTCATTCACACACTGAGAAAAAGGGGAAGGAGAAAAGCCTTACCATCTTATGATACGAGTCGACTCATTTGACCTCATTCTCTGTAGTGTGGAGAAGCCCTGGCTTCCTTAACCCTCCCTGTTTGTGTTTAGAACTGAACTGGTTGTCACTGCGCTGATTTAACAAGATAACACACAACATGTAATGTTTTCAAAAAACAGTAACTATCACTCTTGATACAACTGTCTCCCATGTTTGTTCTCGACTCATTTTCTCTCACTTCCAATTTAAGTGTCAGTTTAGAAAATATGCTGTGTACATTGTGTAGGAATATATGGAGGTAAAAAAAGAGGATAGACAAATTTATGTGGCCAAGCTAAGAGCTCACAATAAATAACACTGTAAAGGGACAATTTTCCCTGCAGAGCTCAGTTCCTTCCTGTGTTACTTCAATACAAAGCCTGTTAACCTTAAGACATTCAGCCCACAGTAAAATCTTGCTATAAGAAAGTTAAGAGTAAAACTCAGTTCAATGTGGTAACTTGTATGCTGACAACCAGGCTTTCATAGTATCACTACTGTTGTTCTCATCACGAACAATAAGGCACATACACCCAAACCAGGTGTCCACAAGCTTTTTTTGAGCCATCTAAGTCATCTGTCTCTGCCAGGCTCCTTCCCAAGAACCCAAACGCACCTGTGGCTGGTCTACTGAGCAAACCAGGTCTGACGACAACCCAGTGTAAATATGAAACTGCCTAAAGTATCCCTGTGTCAATGACATAGCGCTCCCCCTTGAAACTTGGCAGAGTGAGATGACCCAGAGGCCTGACACTAGCATACAACAAACTATTTTTATTCAAAATCTGGGTGGTGATAAACTTGATAAGAGCACTTAAAAATACAAAGTGCAGTTTGTTTGAAAAATGTCCAATTTATCTAATCCAACATTTAACTTGACAAAAGATCAGAGATGTGCCTCAGATGGCAAAACAGAATTTAACTGTATTCTAACAAATTATCTACAGGCTGAATGAACACCTGAGAAAGCCAGTATCCCAAATAGCAGTGCAGCGTTGGTAATTCAAATTTCTTTTAGCGATCACATTCGCGAGCCCCACACATGGCCGAATACTTAGCATAAAAATCGCACCTGTCCTGCAGCATCTGGTCATGGTCAGAGGATCATCAGTGGATGTACGGGCAGCAAAACGGTGTTAATATGTGCCTCCAGTGAGATCAGTACTCCTCCGTTCTAACCCTCAACTGTGCAACACACTCACAAATGGTTATGATTTTAATGTGATTTAAAAATAAAATGTTTATACAGTTTAATATACTATAACATCTACTTCAAAATATGAGAACCCATCATTTACCCAAAACAATTATGCTTAATATTTTGCATGCATCTACACTAGATCAAGGGTTGAATTTTCATGCTCGGTGTGATTCAGATGTCCTCTCTGCTGAGTTTCTGATTCATAATCTAAAGCTGTGGGCTGCTGGGAGGCGAGGGTGTCCAGGTTGTCTGACCACAAACATGCTGCTGTTCATTATGGGGGGGGGGGGATTTGGGTTTTTTTTTAAAAATTTTAACCCGGCGGGGGGCAAAA